CCCCCCCCCTCCCCGGCCACCCTCTCTTGCCTCGCCACGCCGACGCCTGGCGGCGTGCTCACACACCCAGGTCCCCGCACCGAGCGAGTGCGTGCTCGCGCGTGCCCTGACACCGCCGCCCCGGCGCCCCAGACAGCCATGCGGGGAGCTTGGCGCGCCTGGACCGAGTCACTCACCCGCCCAAAGCGGAAGTACTCCCTCGAGAACTTCAAGTATGTGCCCCCCCTCCCCCCCTCTCGCCCTCCGGCGTCCACTTCCCCTTCTTCCTCTCCCGGCGTCTCCGCTCCACTGCGTGTGCCGGTGCCCCGTCCTCCTGGCACCACCCTACTGACCTCGTCCTTTCGGCCCTCTTGCCCTCCTTGTCCCCCGGCCATGGCAGATATCTCACCCAGCAGCTTGCGCGGCACAATGCCCAATTTCTGTCCGGCGAGCCGACCGGCATCGATGCCAGCTCGCAGGCCATCGTCGAGACCCTGCGGCAGATCGCCGAGCTCCTCATCTGGGGCGACCAGAATGAGACGAACTTCGTTGAGTGCGTCCGCCACAGCCTGCCCCCCCCCCTCCTCTCCTTCCTTCTGCTTGTTCCCTTGGCCGCCGCTTTCGGTCTCCCGCTAACCCGCCCGCCCTGCTGCCAGACACTCCTATGAGGCCAACCTTCTGAGCAACTTCCTCCTCCTTCTCAATCAGAAGCCGCCCCCTCCGCCATCGATTGTTGTGCAGCTTCTCCAAACGCTGAGCATTCTCTTCGAAAACATCCGCACTCAGACGCTCATCTGTGCGAGACACTTTTTTTTTTTGCCGTTCCTCCCCCCTCCTTCCCTCCCTCTCGCTCGGTCGTTTGTCCCCCCACCCTGACCCGCTCCCTTGCCCCCCCCCCCTGGTGCTGATTCCCTCTCCCGTGCCTGGCAGACTTCCTTCTGTCCAACAACTATGTCAACGACATCATCCAGCATGAGTTTGACTTCGGCGATGAGGAGACCCTGGCCTACTACATCTCCTTCCTGAAGGCCCTGTCGCTCAAGCTGAACCCCAGCACCGTCAGCTTCTTCTACAATGAGGTTCGCATGTTGGTGCTTGTGCAGGGCATGTCCCGCCATCCTGGCGCCCCGACTTATCCCTTTGCCCCTCCCCCCGCCGCCCCTCTCCGCAGCGCCAAAACGACTTCCCACTCTACTCCGAGGCGATCAAGTTCTTCCGCCACGATGAGAGTATGATTCGGGTAGCCGTGCGCACCCTCACGCTCAATGTCTTCCGCGTGGACTGTCCGCGCGTGAAGAACTTCATCCTCGACCGCTCGGCCCTCCCCTACTTCGCCAACCTCGTCTGGTTCATCGGCGACCAATCCCTGACCCTGGACGAGTTTGTGGTCTCCTCCAAGGGGTATGGCTGTTCTCCGCCTCCCTCTGCCCCTTGTCCTCCGCCTCCCTCTGCCCTTTGTCCTCCGTCTCCCTCTGCCCTTTGTCCTCCGCCTTCCCCCGCCTCCCCCCGCCTTCCCCTCATGGCTATCCCCATCCCTGCCTTGTGGCCGCCCCTCCTCGCCACGCGGCTCTGACCCTCCCCTCTCAGATTCGAACTCGCCGGCAAGCTCAATGACCAGGTGGCTGAGCATGTGGATCACTTTTACTACCTAAATGACATTTTGACCACCGGTGCACCGGAAATCGGGGAGATCCTCTGCCGACAGCTCATTCGCAAGTTGGTCATCCCCCTGTACCTGATGTCGCTGCTTGACCCGACGGCCTCCTTCCTCCAGCTGGCCGGGTCTTCGGCGGATCTGTCCCCGACCGCCGGGGCAGGAACCGGGGCGGCGCCAGTTCCGACGCGCGTCAGCGTCCGGACCGCGCTCACGCTCCTGGCCCAGATGATGCACATTTTCAGCCACTCCAAGCTGGTGTCCCTGATGGCGGTGCTCCTCTTGGCGCCGACCCGTGCGGCCTACCTGGAATACCTGCGCCAGCTGTCCTCCAACCAATCGAAGGGCCCCTCCTCGCTGCTGGTTTCGCCGCAGATCCCCTCGTCCACGGCCTGCCTCGGCGACTCCTCGCTCGACATCGACCGGAGCTCGGCCCTGGACATTGATGCCATCATTTGCGCGGCCTTTCGATCGGCCAATGGCAGCATGGGCATGGGTGCCGCCGCTGCCGGCGCCGACTCGACCACCGGCTCGACCCTGCTGGCGGCCAATCCGCCGGCCAACCCGCGTGATCCGGTTGACCTGTCTGGCGACCCGCGTGCGGATGGCCAGGCTGCTGGTGCCTCCCTGGACAATCCCGAGGGGCATTCCTCCTCCACCTCGGCCGGGGGCCATTCGGCGCTCGCCTCCAGCTGCGGCATCTCGGAGTCCTCCTCCTCGGCTGCCTCGCACAGTCCGACCACCTCCCTTTCGGCATTGCCCTCCTCGCTGTACTTCGTCAGCCGCCGGGACCGGGCAAGCGAGCACCGGCTGGTGATCCCCAGCCGCAAGGGGCTTGGACCGCGGCGCCAGGCCGCCTCGCCCCTGCCGGATCTCAAGATCCCCAGTGCCTTCACCGGTGGCAATGGGACCAATGCCGGCTCGCCGACCGGGCAGGCGTCGAAGGGGCGCGCGGCTGCGGCTGCCGCTCCGGCCGTCGCCGCCGCTTCTGCCATTGCCGCTGCCGGCGCCGGCGCCGGCGCCACTGCTCCTGTCGGGGGCCCCGCCTCGACCACCGCCGCCGCTGCCGCCGCCGCTGCGACTCCATTGGCGGATGAGCGGCCGATTGGCTTTAATCTTGGCAAGTCCTCGTATGTGCCGCTGCCTTTCCCTTTCACCTGCCCAGCGTCTGCTCTGTCCTCGCGCTGTGTCCGCCCGATCTCACTGTCGCCGCTTTGCCTGTCCCCGCCCCCCCCCCCCCGGCCATAGTGATCCCAATCCCTTCCGCGAAGCAATTCTCCACTTCCTGAATTGCTCCGAGTCCGACCAGGAGGCCCTGCCCGTGCTGTCTCTCCTGCACTTGACCTCCAAGAACAAGAACATCTCCCCGGCCATCCTGGACCTGGTGGGGCTCCTCCCGCGGAGCTACACGGCCAGCCCGCCGGCGGCAGCCGACCCGCCCCCGGCGCAGGATCCCCTTCCGGCAAAGGTACTTCCGACAAGTTGACGCTCTGGCGGCCTCGCCCTCCCTTCGGCCCTTTGTCCTCGGCGGCCATTCTCGTCGGCTCTCTGGGCTAACTTCGATTCCCTCTCCTCCGCCTGCTTCTTCCCGCCTCCGGCTCCCTCCCGCCATCCGGCGTAGTATGACGGCGAGCTGGTGTCGGCCCTGCTGAACAATGTCATGGAGCATTCGCACCGCTGTCGGCCGGTGACCCTGGCCCTGGCCACGTCGCTGTTGGGGGAAATCACCTGGCGCCCCACGGTGCCCAGCGCGCCGCATGAGGCCTCGCTCAACCCGCGGCACCTGCACACCCTGCGCTCGATCGAGCTCAGCACCCGGTCGAAGCTCTTCGACTCGATGCTGGGCTTCTACCTCCGGCCGGATGTCTCCCGGTCGCTGCCGCTGACGGAGGAGCGCGGCCCGGAGGCCGGGCACCCTGGCACCGGGCAGCAATCGCCCAGCTTCCCGGGTACGCCGCACGGCACCGGGCCGATGGATGCGTCGCGCGCCTCGGCCGACCGGTCATCCACCGCCTCCTCGCGGTCATCCATGGCGTCCACCTCGTCGGCGGTCTCCGCGCCCCCGGCCTCCATCTATCGGCCGGGTCCGGCTCGCCCCGATGCCATGGCTGCCGGGGCGGAGTTTGGCCGCACCGATCCCGATGCCCTGCCCGACCATCTGGACGTCTTTGAGGAGGAATTTGTTCGGTTCACGCGCGCCTGCCCGGAATTGGCCGATGTGTGGTGGTCGGGCCCGGGTGCCTTTGCGCGCGCCCTCAGCAGCCCTGCCAGCACCTCGGCCATTCCGGGCCCGTCGGCCGGCGCCCCGGCAGGTGGCCCCCCTGCGGCGGCCCCCAGCATCTCGGTCCAGGATGCCGGGCTGCTGTCGCCACGCCGGCGATTGCCATTTGCCGGGTTCCCGGCCCAGTTGCACGGTCAGGCCGATGGCGGCCGGTCGTCCATCTCCTCCGTGGCATACCTGCCGCCCAACCCGATCACCATGGAGTCGCGCCCGGTGGCAGTTATCCGGGAAATTGCCAATGGCTTCTGCCCGGTGGATGTCATCGGCCGCCTGGTGACCGGCAGCCCGGTGCTCCTGGTGCCGGTGGTGACCGAGCCTGGAAGTGTCTTCCTCCGGCGGCTGCCATTCGACCAGCGCCCGGCGCTGAATCTCTATGAGGATCTGGTCGGTCTCATCCGGCGGTTCCTGGTGATTCGCGCTCTGCGCCAGCGCCTTGCTGCCAGCCATAGCTCCTGTGAACCGGAGCGCGAGCTCCCGCCCCCGCCGTTCGTCCGGCCGGCCGGTGCCTTTGCCTCGGATCTGGTCGATCTGTCGCAATTCACCCTCTCCGAGATGGGCGAGAAGGCCAAGGCCAGCCAATCGGCCAGTCAGCATGTGCAGCTGGCAGACTTGCACCTGGCCGCCCCTGCGGCCTCGGGCGCCTGCTTCAACATCCTGCCCCTGGACTTTGGCACCCATCGAGCCCTGGGGGAGTCCCTCGAGCTGACGGCCCTCCAGCAGGATGCTCGGCTCAGTGGCCAGCCCTATGTGCACAGTGCGTGGCCACTTTGTCCCTCCCTGTGGCCTCTTTTTTTTTCTCCGCCGCCTTCCGCCGCCTTTCATGTGATCCTCGTCTGTTGGCTAATGCTGTCCGGCGGGATGCTCCAACCTGCTTTTCGCCCCCTTTTTTTCCCCCTGCTGCCCCCCCCCCCCCCCCACACACACACGCACATGTCAGACACCATCGACGTTGAGTTTTCCGTGTCGCAGGTGGCCGCCGGCGGCATGAGCCACCCTCGGCGCCTGGTCCTCACCGGCGAGCGCCTGCTCCTGCTGGACTGCCCGACGCACCGCGGAGCCGATGCCTCGGAAGGCAGCGCCACCGACGACGACCATGACGCCGCCGTCGCCGGCGCTGCGACCACCGGCGGGGATCCCCATGGCGGGGCTCCCGCGGCCACGGTGCTTTTCGGGGTCACCTACTCGCGGGTGGCGTCGGCCGCCATCCTCCCCGACACGGATGACGGGCTGGCCACCTCCTGCCGGCTGATGTTGGAGCTGCTCGTGGATCCTGCCTGGGTGGACACGGCCCTCGGCCATGTCAGCCCGGCGGAGCGCGCGGCCGCCATTGGCGAAGCCGTGGCGACTGCTCGCCGGCGCACTTCGTCCGCCGGGGAGAAGCACATCGACGAACCGGCTGCGGCCCCGGCCCCGGCCCCGGCCCCGGTCCCGGTCCCGGCGGCTCTTACTCCGCCACCGGTGCCCCGGCTGGCCGCGCGTGCGGGGCTCTTTGCCCTGCCGTCGGTCCAGGACCCGAGAGTTGGCGGCGGGCCTCTGCCCCCGGGCGCCGGGGGGGCCCTTGCCCCGGGCGAGGTCCCCCCAACGTCGGTCCTTGCTGCGGCCCTGTCCGGGCACTTCCTCTTCTCGACTGGCGGGCCGGGGGGTCTTGCCGATGCGGCGGCCGTGGCGGCCGCCGATGCCAGTCTCCTGGGCAGCGTGCGGCGCTTTTCCGCGGAATTTGGCCGAGCCTCGGCGGTTGGTGCCCGACCTGGCCCCTTGGCTCTGCCGGCCGCGGCGGGCGGCGCGGGCGCGCGCATGCCGGCCCCCGCGTCGCAGGTGGTCTTCCGGACGGCCCTTTCAACCCCGCCCTCCGGGCAACTCCATGCCTCCTTGCCCGGTGTCCTGCCGGTGGCCCCGCCTCCGGCCTCCATGCTTGGGGCCACATTGCGGCAGCATTACCGGTCGGCCTTCATCTTCGTGGACTTCGCCTCGGCATCGGATGCCTTGCTGGCCTTCGCCGAGTTGGCCCGCTACCGGGCCCATGGCCAGGCCACCCGGACGCGGGCCCTGTTGGGAGTCCTCGCATCGACGCACTTCCTGCAGGTGGACCGCGCCACCGGGGCCGTTGCCGCTCGGCCGGCGCACCTGCACGCGGGCGGTGGGGCCGACCTGCCGGAAGCCCTGGCCGCCGTCAGTCTGTCGGATGCCGTGGCCAGCGGGGGCGGTCCTCCTGTGCCGGGGCCCCCGCTGCCGCCGTCGCACCAGCAGCAGCAGCAGCAGCAGCAGCAGCAGCAGCACCTGTCCCGGCACTTGTCGCGTGTGCCGTCGCTCTCCTCCTGCCCCCTGTCCTTGTACTATGGCGACTCCTTTGTGTCGCTGGCCAGCTCGATGTCCGTCATGTCGCTTGGTGGCGGCGTTGGTGGTGGGTCCACCGGGCCGACCGACGAGGCGGCGCCTGCCTTTCCCCCCTCGGCGGGGGGCAGCAGCCTCGGGGCGTCCTACCTGCGGAACTCCACCTCCTCGCCGATCATCCGTTCGAGCCAGCAGTCCCGGGCCGTCAGCACCGACCTGACGGCCCTGGACCCGACGCTCGAGGTGTCCGCCACGTCCATCGGCCCGGACCTGGCTCCGTACCTGCTTTCGGACCAGGTCCTTCCGCAGAGCATGCTCGCGGCGTTGGAGGCCTCGGCCTCGGCCAGTGCCGTGGCGCAGGCCCTGTCGCAGTCGTCCGACCCGGGGTCCTCCTCGAGCACCACCGACCCCGGTGACTCGCAGCTTCAGTTTGATGGGGTGTCGACGACGCCGCCATCGGACTCGATGCCGCCCTCGCCGTCCGGCGGCTTCCCCGGGCATGCCGCGCCCAAGCGCCCCTCTTTGGCCCCGGCGCCGCAGTCCGATGCTGGTGCTTCAAATTCAGACCCAGGGGAGGGTGCCCTTCCTGCCCCGGTGGCCGGCGCTGCCGGGATTGACCGGGGGGCCGTCGCCGCCGCCGCCGCCGCCGGCGAGGGCCACCACTCCGACGGGGGGGAAGCCTCGTCGGAGACCGGCGAGGATATCCTCATCCTCGCCGACCGGGTTCTCACTCAGGGCCAGGAAATCTGCCTGCCTCCGGCCAGTCGCCCAGCCAGCCCATGTCGCCCGGCGGTGGTTCCGGTCACCGTGCAGGGGGTCCCATCTCCCTTCGGTCCGGCGCTGGGCTCTGCCCCGCTGGTGACCACCAGCAAGATCAATGACGAGCCCGCTCCGGTGTCGGAGCCATGCATGGCGGCTGGCGATCCTGGGAAGCTGCAATCCATCTGCGAGGAGGCTGACCCCTCGGTGGGGGAAGCCGAATCCCACGGCCACTCTACAGAGCTGGACTCCGGGCCGCCGGTTTCCGGCGGTGAGGATGGTCATTGCTCAGATTGCTCGGACTGCCATGGCGATGCCGCTGCTGCTGCTGCTGCTGCTGATGGTGATGTTGATCTGGGCATGCATCCAGAAGCTCGTGTGGATGATGGTGCCGGGGCCGATGCCGACGCCGGTGCTGATATCCCTGCCGATGCCGACGTCGGTGCTGATATCCCTGCCGATGCTGGCGCTGATGGGGGTGTTGGTGATGATCTTGGCATTGGTGCCGATGTCAATGCTAGTGCCGACACTCCGGTTGCCGCGAGCTCCGGCGATGACACTCAGACCGATGCCGATACCACGACCCCCGGTGCGGATGTTGGGGCTCAGCCTGGCAATGCCATTGAGGCGGCTTCGGGCAGCCCGGGCCCCGACGCCGATGTCGCCACCGAGGCCCATGCTGATATCAGCGCCGGCGCTGAGGTCAACGCAGATGTCGGCGATGATGCCATCGAGGGGGGGGCCCTCCCCGTTGGGCACCAGTGAGAGGGGACTCTCCTCGTCCCCGGTGCCTCGGTTTCCCGGTCTCCTGCCTTGCTCATTGGTCTTGGCACTTTCCTGGCCCCTCTGCCCGGCAATCTCTCTGTCCTTCAGGAGGAGAGGTCGAATAATGGGCGGGAACATCTCCCAAAGGGGGGTAGACCGTCCGAATACACTCTCTCCATTCCGCTCGCTGTTGGGTGTTTTTCTCCTCCATGGGGCAGGGACGGCAGGGCCGGGGGGGGGAGTCTGCATGTGTCTGTTGGCTGCCCCCTGTCTGTCCTGATCGCCCTGCGGCTGAGGGGAGGATCGGGGGGCCGGAGGGAGGGCGGGGCCGTCCTTCGCACAGCGCCTGGTTCGTGCCAGGATTTTATTTTCCTCGCGGCAAGCGGCCTGCAGTCAACCGATCATAGCTCAATTGGTAGAGCATCAGACTGTAGCGGTAACAAGCAATTATCTGAGGGTCGCTGGTTCGATTCCGGCTGATCGGACACTTTTTGGCGCCTGCCACGCGGACAGCGAAGTCCGTGCTTCACCTTTTTCCGCCGTCCAACCCACAGGAGAAGAAGATGGGGGGGGGGGGGG